TGACTTACCAGGCCAATCCATCCAGAGTGAATGATGCTCTTCAGTCCAAGTTCTGACAGACAAAGTTTTGTCCTGCCCATAGTCTCACTGTGTACTTCTGATGTGTTGCTGAAGCCTGAAGAAGGTAGAAATCACTCCTTAGGAGGCCCTAACTCAGAACATTTCCTAGTTCAGATGTTTCCTTTCTATTCGAACACTGTCCTAGGTCATCCTTCCCAGTAAGATGGTGTAGCCAGGGGACTAAAAGGAGCATCAATCTGATTTTAATGGATACTCATCCTTATTACTTCTGAAGAAAGGCTAAGATACAACTGGCAACTGGAAGATGCTATGAGAAGAGACAAAAAAAAAAAAAAATCCCTGCATCTCCTAAGAATTGAAGAAGATGGACTTAATGGAATCCTCATTTGGCCAAGTTGTCAATACATTGACCCAAACTGGTGACAAGAACAAGGCTGTTTGGAGAGAAATTATTGGGACTACATCCAGAAAACAAGGAACAGAGACTGGGCACAGGGTAGGCAGAAGGGAGGGGATGAAGGTAAGCCTCTCAGGATCTACTAAAGAAAGACTATTGGAAATCCTATAGGAGCTGTGCCACCAATGCACAATTTTCGTTAATTACCTCAATTGTGGCTGTTATTCCCTTAATGAGAAACACAACTTCACTTCTAAGCAGACAGTGGGGCTGGCAGAAAGCTGAAACCTGAAAATCAGCAGATACAGGGCTACACACGGCCCTTACTATTGAAATTAAGCCCCATCCAGAACACAGGGGATAGGACTCCAAATAGCTTCAGACAGCAGCCAGCCACACAGGGCCCTCACCAGGCACCGGATGGACGCTCTCTGGACCCGTCAAGAGGCCCAGATCCCAAGTGCTCATTTCAATAACATAAGAAAATAAACATGGGGCTTATTTATAGCTCAGGAAAGGGACTGGGGCAAAAGAACCACTCATTTGGTAATCCACCCTGACGGGGCCAGATAGGATCCAGACCCCCAAGCTCTCTGGTAACAGGGTGAACAGAAATAGGGGCCGGAAGAGGGCCAGCTGCCAGCATCACCAGGTACAATCTTGTAAAGGCCCTGAGAGAAGGGGAAAAGATCTAATACATCATCCCATCTCACCATCCTGGGTCTAAGTGATCTTGCTGCCTCCAGTTCCTAGTTGAGGAAACTGAGGCATGGGAGTGGACTCTCAAGACCAAGGAAGGCTAGGGTTCAACTCAAGGGGAAGGTGCTAAAAGAGGGAAAAAACAAAACAAAACAAAACCCTTGCATCCTCCAGACACTGGAGAAGATGGTGTTAACGGAGTCTTCATTTACAGTTGGGACTAAAACGTAGGTATACAGAGTCCTTGGCCACTGATGGGCTCATGCCATCTTACACAGCTCAAGAGCTCCCAGTAGAGTTGGAGCGCCTTGAGCTCAGGACAGAGTCTTATTCAACTCTATTTCCTGGACCCAGCACAGAGTCCAGCAAAAAGTGTATTTTGATGAATGATGAATGATTAGAAAAACTCAACGACCCAATGAATGTCCTCTTACCTCACCTGGATCAGTAACTAGTTGGTTGTGCTTCAGCTGTGATTACCAGAAAACCAGGCATTCCTTGAGTTTATTCTTGGGCATAGTTGCTAATGATGTAAGTTGGTGGCTATAAATAAAAGCCCAAATAGACATATTCTGAAGGGAAGGCTCTTATGGAGGCTTCCACAGGAAAGCACTCTAGATGGAGTGGCTGGTGGTTTGGGTCTAAGACATATGGACTCCAGTCCCTGCTCTACTGGAACCTCTCAACCCATGTGCTGCTCCTGAGAGGTTGCAGACAAGAGGGAGCTTTGCTGAGAAGCCTCCGGCAGACACAGCTGGCCTGGTACCTCTCGAGCGCCACACGGGCATCCTTCCCTTTCTTTGTCTTCTGCCTGACAGCTCTGTACCCTTCAGGGGACTGGGAAGAAATGCCACCAAGGGCCCAACCACTTGGGAACAGAAGAAAAGAAAAAGCTCTACCCTGAAAAGGTTGTACGATTGTGGAAATGAAATGCCAGACACAGATGCTGGTGACTCAACTGTTGTTTCTGGAAAATGAAAGAGGCCCGGAAGGCTGAGAGAAGGGGCCAAACTCTGCCCAGTCATGTTCCCTGTGATGCCAGCAACAGTGAGTCTGGAATTGAAAAGCCATGGCACAAAGTTGCCTCCTCCCTGAGAACCTGGAAGTCACAAAGCCTGAAGCTGAAACCTGACAGTCCATTTGACATTGGCAAAGGCGGATGAGAGGGTGTGGGTTGAGCTTGGAATGCTCCCACCCTAAAGAGAGGGGAAACCTTAAAATTGAGAGTACAGTGCTGTCTCACTTTCCTCCGCCAGGAGAAGGTCAGTGAAGACTGTTCCCAGATTGCCAGACCATGCTTGGCTGGCACGATGGGGCCACAAGCTATTCCTGATTTTAACTCAGAAACAGAAAACGGTGTCACTGAATATTCTGAAGGGAAGGCTCTTAGGGAGGCGTGGAACAGAACGGGGCTGAGGTGAGCAGACGGGCCCCCCTGTTGCACCTGCTGCAGGCCCTGCAGTGGGAAGCTCAAGCTGCTTCCAGAGTCTTCCTGGATGGCAGCTGCCTGCCAATATGGTGAGCGCTCCTGCCAGAACAGGCTGAAGAGGCCGGGGGCCACTGAGCACTCTGTCCCCGCCTCGCTGTGCCACGGCTCCCTGAGGAGCAGCTGCTGCGGCTTCTGCCGCTGCAGCAGAAGGCAACCTGGGCCCCAAGAGATGGAGAAGGGAGCCTGCCCCAAGAGAAGCCACCGCCCCCAAAGCGAAGGAGACCCACCAGGCTCAGGATGCGTGGCCGGTGAGAGACCTGCAAGTGCCCAAACCTCTCCCTCCCAGCCGGGCTCCCACGGGACCCTCTCTGACTGCCCCTCTCAGTGCCCAGCCGCGAAGTCTCGCCAGAACTGAGCCACTTCCCAAGCGGCCGGCCTCTTACTTCAGCTACTTAAGAATTCTACCGTCAAAGCGTCTTGGATTTTACCCCAGCAATCCTATCTTTTGAGCCTGTGGCGAGAAACCTGCATCTTTTCAAACACTCCTGCCAGAGACGACCATTCCAGGCAGCCGCTGGGGTCACAGGGTTATTAGCAACTCCTTCAACAGAGGACAGCAAAAAAGCGGCTTGCCCCTTCTGGCTCCCAGTCCTGGTCGCACACCCCAGCGTGATGCTCACGGCCTCCCAAAGGCAGCAGAAAAACTGGCCCTAAAAGCCACAAGCTGGAAGCACAGTTGGAAGTACATCAGACTTTGGCAGAGCACCGGGATAGTCGGTTTTGAACTTCATGACACTGAGTAAGAAGAAGAGACAGTAGAGCATCATTTGCAGGAAAGAACCAGAGATTCTGAGAACAGAAGTTGTTGCTTTCCTCTTTAATTCTCCTAGAGAAGGAGGTTTTTGCCTAAACACGTGTGAGGGCTGGTAAAACACACGAGATAAGAATATTAAGAACTACCTAATGCTAACCAGCAAAAAAGTGTTTCCAATCTTGGCATTCCAAACTGGCTCATCCCAGTTGGGTCCCTGGGGGAAAAGGCGAGTGACTCAGTGCACACATTTGGGCCAGGGCCAGGGCCAGCTCAGGTTCATCTTCTGTACAGGCCAGCAGGATGCAATTTCTTAAAAAAGATTTCTTAATCTAAAACCAGCTGTTGTCTGCTGTAGGCCAGAACATGACATTTTAATTAGCATTATTGTTCCGCTTCTGAAACACGGCTCTATGGCATCCCAAGGGCAGATGATCCCAACCCAGGCTTATGGGTGAGGGTTGCTGGTGAGCAGCAAATAAATACACAGAGAAAGGGGTGGAGTCCCCAGGCCCCTCGGAACCCATGAATCATGATCCCCTGCTACATTCTTGCCCCGAATTTCTCCCTGTGACCTGCACCACCTGTCTGTTCGTAGGATAGAACCTCTGAGGTTTGTTTCAAGTACCTAGGATATAATACTCATTCTGCGATAGATACTGTTTTATGCTATGTTGCCAGATCTAACCCACAATATTTCTGGGGGTAGTAAGGTGCCTTAAATGGAATTTTAATGCCCTGAGAAGTCCAGTGACTCCTAACAAGGTGATAAAGTTACACTAACAGAGCCCTCTGGGGCTCCCAATCATCTCCGATGGAAGTGGTCCTCTTCCAAAATCAAAGGGCTGACAAAGTTTTTAAAAAGAAAAGAAAGAAAATATTTACCCTCAGAGAGGGAGACCTGGATTACAAGCCAGCCACTAAGACAGAGGATTCAGTGATGGGAAAAAGAGCAGAAAATCTGAGGTGACGATGCTGAGGGGAAAATACCGGGGGTGAAATACATGCACGTATACAACGTTCACCCGGTTCTTAGCTTCTGGTAGGGATTTAAAGGTGAGGCCCAACCCTTCCACCCACCCTGAATCTTGGAAAAATGGCTGAGGAACCCCAGAAAGGTTAGCAGTACTCATCATCTGTGACAACAGAATTTCCCTTCTCTTGGTTTCTATCCTACCATCCCCAGGATTGTGAATATGAGACTAAGTGCCTTCCCATATCCCCTACTGACAGGAATAGAATTATTCAAATCAGAAGTATTTATTAGGCACCAGTGTTTGAATGCAACACGAGGAATAATCACAGGTTCCGTGTGTGCACCTGCAACGTGAACAGACGGCGGGGAGCGGGGAGGCATCTTGTCCCTTCTTGCCCATTCCACCAGCACCAGTCCCGGGCTCTTGCTCCTCAGTGTGAGAGAGTAAAACTCATGATTCCCGCTTTCAATTTTGTTACTTCCTGAAGTTTTCTCTGACCTCTCGAAGTCTATAGGAATACATTGGAGGTGACTCTTGTTAAAACTACACGTTTAAAATCGATAGCACAGTAACTATTCACCTTCGTGTCACTCAAGAGAACAATGGGTGGCATATTAGTGACTTCAACTGGCACACAACTAGGTTTCAGTAATTATAACCATATTCCAAGCAAATTGTTCTGTATTTTGTGTTCTGGGGACATATGTTATGGCTAAAGCCCAAACTGTGGCTAATCTTAATATTAGAGCCAGATAAATCTGTTTCGAATCCATAACATCTAACATTTGCCAGAGTAGATTTGTTCATCAACAGGGCTTAAAGAGGTATAATTCACACATGTGCAGTATTACTAAATGCTGAAATTTAATGATTTAAATATACCGGCAACTATGGCAAAGCAGTTGTTATAGCAGTATTTAACATTAGCCAGAACCTCCCTGGCTAACGTTAAGTTTACACCGAAAGAAGGAGGGAAATTTTGGAATCCCCTTGGGGTGGGGATCACAACTGCCTCGACTTTTACAACACGGTACCAGCTACAGCAACTCAGTGTATGGTTATTACAGGCCCTCTGTTTTTCCCTAAGAATACCTATGAAAAACTGACTGGATCTGATCAAGAAGCAAACAGAGTCCTTTGGAGGTTTGGGGAGACATCTTGTCTTAGCATGTTTACAGCTTGGAGATCTTCTTCTGCGTGAGGCACATGGCACCAGATATTCCTCTTGGCTGTGTGTCCTCCTGAACGTGGTAGGAGGTTTGGAAACAGACTGGAGTTAAGGCCAGAAGATGGAGGTAAAATACACACAAAAAAGAAAGTTCCTTGGGTTACCAATAATCAGCATTTAAGACATATTGTAAAAAGGAATAAAAAATTATTTTAATCATATTAAAAAGCCAAACCAAAGAGGAATGGTTCATGGAATTTACAGGATCCCAATTCAGCACCGGGTGCTCCACCTACGCCTGGGTCCAGCGCCTCAGGTCCTAGGGCATGCGTCAAATCCCTCTAAGCTGCTGGGATTTTGTGCCAAATTCTTGGTTTGGCTTTTCCTCCTAAAAAGTCACTGATCTGAAATAGCTAAAGGTGAGATATGGGCACGATTTACATGATTCCCCAGATCGAACATGGTTGACAGTTCTGTCTGCTCTACAGTCTGAGGGTCAGTGAAGTTTCCTTTCAGACTGTTCCCTGCAAACAAAGGGAGCCTGGGCTGCATTTAAACCCAGAGTATGCCACAAAGGCTCCCATTTGGCATTTCCAGCAAGAACCCATCGGGGTCATAAGAAACACTAGAATAGTGCACGCAGCGCTCAAGGTGCTTAGACGCTCTCTTCAGGTTCCAGTTCCCGAGGAAGCAGGTTAGGTGTCACAGTCCAGTGTGTCAACTGAAGGTCCCCCACACCCTGATATCAGGGTGCCGGGAGGCTGTGCTCCCCTACTTTGTCCACGCGTCACATTCAGACCTCCGTCACTGATGGGTTTCACAAGCTGCCGATGTTGGGGAAGCTCTTCAGTTTCTCGGGAAAGTCATCTTTGTACAGGACAGGGTCAGCTCGGTGCTCCACCACCTTGAGCGGCATCGTCCCGAAGACTGAAGCAAACTTGTTGATGCACTCGGACCTGAAGGGTTTTGGGTGGGCGCGGGGGAGGCAGGTGAAGAGGGAAAGGGGTAAGGAGAAGAGAGAAAATGTTCAAGGGGCCGACACATGAGAGCAACATACATACACTACTCAATATCAACAAAAGAAATCCAAGTATCGCAAGCCTGCTCCCAGGTTCTTAGAAAAGGTTGGGAGGGTGTGGACACAAGAAGTGATCTGGGGGTGCTGTGACTATTAGTTCAGGGGGAGAGAGTGAACAGAGGATGCTGGCGGGAGGTCACTGGCCTGTGCAGAGGTCAGTCTCTTATCCCCTCCCCCTCAAATTCCAGTCATTCTTCCCCGTCACTACAAGCAGGCCTCAAACCAAGGTGGATCGGCTGCGAACAATTCTTAACCCCGTCTCTGCCAGCTAAAGAGAGGCCAAAGGGTGGAGAGGGAAGGGGCGCCTGGATCTGAGCTTCAGCTCACTGGAGTTTAAAAAGCAGAAGAGAGGACCTTACACCAGCAGCAACGGAAGGCAGAAGGTAACGGGCAGTGAGGCTCACTTCCAAACAGTAAGCCCTTCACTCGCTCAACCAGCGTTTCTCGAGGGCGATGCCGGAACTGCTGGCCACCTTCCACGAGCTCCTCCCCGAGAGCGGGCCAGCCGCTCCCGTGTCAGAACCAGCAGCGACACAGGGCTTAGGGACAGGGCGGCCCAGCAGCGCTGCAGGAGGGGAGACGCCGGTGTCCTTGACTCCAGACCGCCCCCTGAAGCCCATGAGCCATCTCCTCAGAGGTGAGCGGGTCAGGCACGCTGGCGGGAAACGGCTCTGGTCAATCAGGCCAACTGAGTGTGACAGACGGGTAATGAGGACGCTCCCGCATCCGGACCAGAGGGAAAAACAAGCCCATAAACACCGCTTTTGAAGTCAGGGGGACCTCAAGGATGCATTTCAGAAAGGTCAGCGCTCTCTCCCCTCAAGTCGGGCCCACGGCACCCGACAGCTAGGGTAAGAACACACCAACCGGAGGCAGAACCATTTCCCCAAGAGGGGTGGAAGTCCAAGACCCCGACCAGAAGCCTCTCCTGTCCCGAGACACTGCGAGCTTTGTTTCAAATTATTTCAATCAGTAAGTTTTTATTTGAGTCTTCTGAGCTTGGGGAAGAAACCAATTAATAAAGAAGCCAGTTATCCTTAATTCCTTTCTCTTCTTACGTTTCTAAGAGAACGTGTTACCACTTCATTCAGAGCTCTTGGAGCTAATAACATGCCTGTGTCCACCACCATGAACCAACAACTAACACTTATTATGGATTCCAGGCTGCCTTACAAGTGCCCTACATGTATTAGGAACCCACTCCAACCTCCCGACAACCCTAGGGGGTGGGTCCTATGATTATTCCAATTTTCTACTGGGAAGACTGAGAGAGAGAGAGAGGCTGAGTAATATGTCCAAAGGCCAAATAACAGTAAGAGGCAGCACCAAACCCAGGCAGTCTGGCTCCTGAGGCTAAAAAATCTTAATTATGAGATGATACAAATTTATTTATGAACACAATTCTAGAGTCCAAGTGGAGCGGTTGGAAATTAACGACTTTTGCGCTCCTATGATGTGCCAGATAATTTACAAACACGATTTCATCGATTCCTTAAAGTATCCCCCTTGACATGCCCAACGGCTGGTTTACAGCAGCTTCCTGTTATGGGCCGACAAGTTAAAGCTGAGGCCTGAGCCCCAGAGCTGGAAAGTGCCGGAGCTGGGTGTGCAGCCCAGGCCTGCACTGGCAAGAGAGCCTCTGTACTTTCCCTCACCTTACCAAAACGCAGAGGCAATGACTTTCCCTCCTGCCACCACTCCTGTGAGACTCGGGAGGTGGCGGCTGAGGTTCCAAACTGAGAGGGGACCCGGGAAAAAACCGAGGCGTGTCCACAAAGTGCTGCCCAGGAAGCACAACAGCCGTCCTCTCCTCGAGGTACAGGGTCAGGGCAGTGCAGACAAAGTTAGTCTCTCCGAGGTCTTACTTTTGGCAGCTGTTCTGCCTACAAACATGTACAGATTCTTCCAGTTTCCAGTCATTATGCCCGTAGACTCTGGCCAGCAAAGCCCAGCAGGGCCCAACACACAACACAGGTACCGGTGGGTACGTATTAAAGAAGAGCCATGGTTCTTGGCAGAGGATAGCGGCTCCCTGGCCCGCTGGAGAAGACTGAGCACAATGTCTCCTCTGTAAACAGATCTGCCAACAGGGCCGGGCCGCAGGCAGGAGGCCACTGGGGCTCGGGCCAGCTGACTTGTTGACGGCTGCCCCTGGCTGACCCAGGCCTAGTGAGTGCTTCTTTCTCCCCATGCAGCCTGCACCGGAGAAGCCGCCGGCTACTCTGAGTGGTGAAGGTCCTTAACTCTCCGGCCAGGTACTGTCAGTGTTGTCTACCTCCTTTTCACACAGGGCATGTGGGTTGGGGAACAGGTTGGGGTAGACGGTGAGTCTGGTGGTGGCTGGTAGGTGACTTGCGTTGTTCTGTCACAGGTCCAGCCACCTTGTCAGTAAATGCTCCCCTGGGTTGGTTTTATAATCCAGTACAGACAGGCTGAGAACCACCAATGTCTACCTCGGAAGTGCTGAAGTGTCTGTGGGAGAAAGGACTAATGGTTTTCTGTTTTCCTTGTAAACACACGCAATTACCTGAAGTAACCCGGAGCCTTTAGGACTAATGCTGGGGAAACTGGGAAGGAAATAATGTTGCCAGGCATCGTGCTACAGGCTTTCATATGTTATTACTTCATTCATCCCCAGCATATAACACGGTATTTGGCACAAAGAGGCTCAATAGATATTTGTCGAACCCATGAATGGACACTGTAATGTGATAGTTACTAATACACCTATTTTAGGAGATAAGGAGATTGGAGTTTAGCATAAAGTCAATCAATGGTCTTAAGCCAGATAGCTACTAAGTGACAAATCCATAATTTGAACAAAGACTGGCCTGAATCAGAACACAGTGTTCTTTTTCTTAAGATCAGCACCGTCTGCCATATTCCCTTACCTTGTTGAAGCTATTGGTCAAAATGAACAGTTACATAGTCTTCTGGTTTTCTGGCTCTTAAAGAATTAACAGACCATCCTGGAAATGGATGCTGGCAGTAAAAGCTACTTTCCTACACAACTGTGATTTCTGCTCCAAGACCCCAAATATAAGAATAAATAAGCTTATTAAACCACAAAACCCAACACAAGGTCATAACTTGCAAAGTGGTTAACTTGCTTCACTGTTTTGTGCAAAATGTGAATTTTGCAAAGGGAACTATTAAGAAAGAACAACAAATGAACCATTCTACAACTGTAACTCCACTTCTGGATCTACCCATGATGGCTTAAATCATGCCTTCCTCCCTCCCGACCTAAGTGCCTTATATAATTAATTTAGTGATTCAATCTTTAATCCAAATAGTTTTGCTCCCAGTTTCTGATTTCCAGATTGATTTCCTCTGTTCCCTATCAAATTTCTCAAAAGGGTATTCTACATACACTAACTCTACTTCCTCACCACAGACTCACACTCCATAACCCTTAAGCCCCACTGCTCCATGGCATTATTTTTTTTCAAAGTCACCAATGACCATTTAATTCAAAGATCTTTTCCCAGTCTGCATGTTTCCTGCTCCTCCCTTGCTTCTGTGCACTATAGACCCTGGGTCTCTCCTGGCTTCTCCGGTGGCTGCTTCTCTGTTTTCGTTACTCTTTCTGTCTCCTAAATGTCAGAATTTCTCAAGATTCTGCCCTTGGCTTTTCTTCAGTCAGTGGCCATCTCTGGGAAGATGTCTTTCAGATATGTACCTTTGTTTTCATCTTCTTCCTGAAGGTTCCACATTTCCAACTGCTTGCTCCATATCTATATCTGCACATACAGAGGGAAAGACCCCCAAATCTTCACCAACCTGACTGTTCTCCAACTTTGCCCATGGTTAAAGTCTCCTCTCGTCCTTGTTAATTACACTGTTAAAGGTGCAACCATCTGTGTTCCCTCCTCCCTTAGCTGGCCGTCTCCCCCTGACTTATTATTATTATTATTCACACTGTTGATGGTACTACCACTCTTCCTGACTCGACATCTAAGCTCCCTCTGTCAATTCCTTCTCCATAACTTCAAGTTCTAGCATATCTTCCTTTGGGTGAAAAAGCATCTCTGAATATTTAATCCATCCCTTCCTTTCCACACTCAACTTAGCTCAAGCTTCCCATTTCCATATGTACTTCCGTCAATTTCTTCGCCTTCATTCTACTCTGCACCACTTCCAAATTAATCTCAAAACAATACTTTGATCAAGCTCCGTTGTTCAAAAACTTTCGACGGCATGTCAGAGCCTGAAGAAGTTCGTTCAGGCTCCTTCACTGGGCAGTCCTTCAGGGTCTAGCACCAACAGGACAGAATTCTACACTCTAGCCACACCGGACCCTTAACTGCCTGCCAGATACACCTTCAACCTGATGACTGGAACCTTCAACCACCTGGTTTCCCCTGCCTGGGATCTCCTCTTCTTGTCCAGTGATCCTAGTGATCTTTGAAGGCTTATTTCAAGTGCCATCTTTTGCAAAATTATTCTAGTAATCAACCTAGTGAGAAGCCACGTCTCTTTCCTCTGACCAATTATAACATTCTGAGCCTCCCTTATGGTATTTATCACATATAGCTTTGGATTGTTACACACACAGAGGGGTGTGTGTGTGTGTGTGTGTGTGTGTGTGTGTGTGTGTGTGTTGCTGTTAATTATAAATTCTGACAGAATCTGATTTAAGCCTAACAACATCTGGGTAGTCACCTATTCTATTTTCAAAAGTCTGTTCCCAACAGGAAGCCCCCGCATCTCCCTTAGTTACTGTAGTCAGTGTTTAATAATAATTATATCTAACTTAAATCTCTCTCACCGTATTTTAAGTCTCTTTACATTGGTCATCTCAGTGGTGCTGGAGAAGAATTGCTTAGCCTTAGCATGAACTTCAAGGCCATTATCAGGCCAACGTTGGTCCCTAAAATTCCTATCTTACACCATACAACCCCATCACTTTAACTCAGCCTACTCAACAACCAATTGCTTAATGCTATGAATTCTCCCAACACAAAGAATGGAGGTGGGTTTAATAATAATTTCGTGTACTCCAATATAACTATAATTGGGGTCTCTTCCAAATGAGCTATGACAGTCATTGTGACCGCCCTTGACTGTGTAGTAACTATGATACCCGTGACAGATATTTCCAAAATCACAATAATATGTCATTTCACACTGACAATTAATAAAAGTCATGTCATTTGGGTAAAATATTTATATATGAAAGAGATAAAAGGATTATTTACAGGGTAGGAAAGAAGTAGGAATACGAAGGAGTAAAGCATTATAGAATCCAGGCCAAGTGAAACAACTTTCTGCACAAAAAGATCTTCCAGGCTTTAAGGATTTTAACACGGTGGATAGATTTCAGAAAGACTGCAAGCAGACCCACATGGGACCTGTGGACACCTGCGCTAGATATCTCATTCTCTAAGGGCCACTACAACCTTCCCTGAGTGCACTTTGGTCCCCTGACAGCACTGCTATGGGATGTCCGGGCTTGTTGTCTTATGTAAGGAGCTGCCTTTTGGAAGAATTAGGTTTGATTCAGGAGATGCCAAGCTTGGGGACCTTCAGGATACAAGTGAGAATGGTGAGGTCTAGGGAAAGATTATAACGATCCGAAGGGAAGATGTAGGTTTCCCACTCCTTTTACATCCGCTCCCCTACGAGGCTTAGTATTATGTCTCACACAAAAGTATGCTTGTTGAGTGACTGACTGAATTGAAATAAAAGGAGGATTTCAGAGCTGACTTGCTCCTCTCACTCTGTAATGTAAAGAGCTGTGCTTTCCATTCTGTTCTTGAGGTGTTTGGTCAGAAAAGGTAATTTGCCTCTAGGTTTGGTTTCATTCCTTCTAATCAAACTTTTATTGTCACGTGGAGATACCCTGCAAAACAATGCCATATTCTCTTGGAATTAACTAGCCTCCACCCAAATGACTGTGGATGGCTGACTGTTAGTCCACATGGAGAATCTGACTTCAGGAGCTTAAGGCCAGCTATATTTTTAAGACCCTTCTAGCCATTACAAATTGAGTGAGTAGCATTCCAAATTAATTCTTTGGGTGACCTGGGCTTGAACTAACCCAATTCCCACAGTGCAAAAGGAGGTGACTATGGCTACCAGCTGCTGTCCTTATATCTCCAACAAGTCCCATAAACAGGCCCAAGGCAGGAAATGGGGATCAGAGGCTAGGGCAGACTTTTGGTTAGAGGCTCGCTCACCTCTCCACCATGTGCGTCTGGTCTAGCGAAAGCCCGTCAATGGCTGTGCACTCAGGACACTTGAATTTCTTTCGCGGTGTTACCTGCCAGAGAAGTACAAAAATACACCTGGCCGTCAGTGCCAAGGACAATAAAATCACGCTTGTGGCAACACTCTGCATGCTTCTGTTCTGTAAGCTGAGCTTCCTGCTCTCTCCACACGCACACACGCACGCGTGCGCGCACACACACACCCCTCGCCATTCCTCCATTCAGTTCTGTCTGGCTTGGCCAACGGCACAACTCACAAGGGCCCAATAAAAAAGGCTTGGAGGGCTTTTTCCTTCTGTAACTGGAAAGAAGTGGTGATGACAAGCTCCTTAATTCCTGTTTAATGACTGTTTTCTCACTGCCAAGGTCCTTGTATAAACACCATTTGTTCTTGCAGCCATAAGGGCGATGAAATACAGCTTCCCATAACTTTCACCGTAACCTCGGTTCCAAGAGGCACTCTGTTTCCTTCTTCCAGCTAATGGCAAATGCTTTGAGCAGCACCATGCTCCTGAAGGTGCCAGCTTCTTTTGCAATTCCCTTCAATCAGGACAAAAATCCCATGGTCTCTCGCCCTCTGAATTCCTTTCCCTGACTCTCCCTCCCGCTCTCCCGAACCTTAAACTCCTAATGATTTTCTTAGCAAACCCAGGGAGACTGTTATCCAAACCCAGTGAAGCTAAAGAAAGAGCAGAGAGAGGTTGGGCAGGGGGAGAATGCTAGATAACTAAGGCCAGGCTAAGAAGCACACAGATGACAGAACGACTGTCCAGAGGGAGCCGGCACAGCTAAAATCTCTTGAAGCACATCAAAAAGCAACTCTGGAGATAAGAGGGGTTCCTTTAAAACTAAGTTTGTGATTTACATATTGGACTTTTTCTTGCAGTGAGCTGTTGACTAAGTTAGAGGGCAGGGGGAGGACTGGGTCAAGTTTGCAGATTACAGATAGGGACTCTTCCTCTTTTTTAGTCACTTTGGTTTAATCTGACTTCTCCCCTCAATTAACAGCATGAACAATCAGTGGCGGCCATACCACGCTTCCAATGTACTTCCAGTACGGCAAGACTCCATTATAGGAATCTGTCCTTGAAGCACAGCCCATTTTTATATGGAATCCGAATTCGGAAGGAAAGAAGGTCAGGATGAGTCCACTCATAAAAATAAGGAAACTCTCTCTTCGTATCTGGGGATCTGGGTTTGAGCAAAATCTACATTTCAGAAACAGACACCCATTACAGATACAGAGATCCCCATGTGATCCTTGTGTACTCTCAGCTTTTATTTATTTTTTTACTCTTAGCTTTTAATATGTTATGGGAAAGATACTTTTAAAAACTGGTAACTGATATTTTAAAATGTTTAGAAAAACTACAGTTATCATTGTACAAAGTGTACTATCTTCTCTATGTCTATAAAAAATAAAAATCAGCTACTTTAAGAAAGATGTAAGTTGCATTCTTTAACTAACAGATCTAGATTCCCTATCAGCTTTGAGAATAAAGTTTTTTAAAAACGTGATTTGTAGACTGACCATTACAGCCTTTATCTCTCATACTGGAGATTAAAAACTGTAACTAAAGAAACTGTATTTAAAAAAAAGAAAATATGTTTAAATTATCAAAGCCTAGCTTCAGCGTTACAATGTGACTGCATCTTAAAGCTAAAAGAGAGCTTAAAGTCATCCAATCCAACACTTCATTTATACTTATGAGAACTTCTCAGGCTCAGAGAAACAAAGACTTGCCCAAGATCACAAAGTTAGCAGCAGAGCTGGACCAGCATGCCTCCTACCTTGATGACAGCTTTTCCCGTGACGTTAGCTACCAGGAAGTTCATGGCAATGTCTTCACAGTTCATATGAGCATCCACCCAGTTCTTGATATCCCCAGGCATTTTGTAGGTATACAGGTAATTAAAATACTGTCAGGTAAGACAAAAAGAAGAAAGACGCAAATGGCAGCGGGCCACGGTTGATGGGGCCACTTAATGGTTGATGGTTAAGACAAAGAGTCACTTAATCATATTGCAGAGACAAGCTTTCTCTCATAGGATTAATCACAAGGCTGTAAAAAGTATTAGAATGCTTTTGGTCAGGTGATCAAGTATCTTTAATACTGTCATTCTTTTAAAATTCACCTATTGTTGGGGCACCTAGATGACTCAGCCGGTGAAGCATCCGATTCTTGATTTCGGCTCAGGTCATGATCCCAGGGTCCTGGGATGAAGCATCATGTCAGGCTCCAAGCTGAGGGTGGAGCCTGCTTAAGATTCTCTCTCTTCTGGGTCGCCTGGGTGGCTCAGTCGGTTAAGTGTCCGACTTCAGCTCAGGTCATGATCTCACAGTTGTGAATTCAAGCCCGGCAATGGACTCTGTGCTGACAGTGTGGACCCTACTTGGGATTCCTTCTCTCCCTCTCTCTCTCTGCCCCTCCCTCGCTTGTGTTCTCCCTCTCAAAAATAAACTTATAAAAAAAAAAAAAAGATTCTCTCCCTCTCTCCCCCACTTGTGTGCGCTCTCTCTGTCTCAAAACCCCAAATAAATAAATAACATAAAAAATAAAAATCACCTATTATAAGCAGCGTAGGTAGAGCATGAAGCCCTTGAATGCAGATGCTTCAGACTCATGTTCCATGTATTTAGTAAGTAAAATATCATTCAGAGACACACTGTATATGGATCGCTACCAAATTCTTTTCCTTGAGTCACAATGCTCAATCCTCTTTGCTACATTCTCCCCGCAGATTGAAAATAGAGACAGACATAAATTAATGGTGGACTGACACTGCAAAGGTATGTGCTTTTTATTTTTTTTAAAGTTTATTTTTATTTATTTTTGAGAAAGATACAGAGAGTAAGTGGGGGGGGGAGAAGGAAACGGGAGGGAGGGAAGGAGAGGGAGGGAGAGAGACAGAGAGAGACAGAGAGAGAGAGAGAGAGAGAGAGAGAGAGAATTCCAAGCAGACTCCACACTGTCAGCACAGAGCCTGATGCAGGGCTCAAACTCACAAACTATGAGATCATGACCTGAGCTGACATCAACAGTCTGACGCTTAACCGACTGAGCCACCTGGCACCCCAGTATGTGTTTTTTAAAGTAAAATACATATGAGGCAATTCTGCTACATCCATCACTTACATGTATGAAATAGTGTGGAAGTTCATGGAGAAAAAAGTACACACACTGTACTACCATAAACTCCAAGAATTATAAACATTTATTTATTTATTGCTAAGAACAAAAACCCATTTCTAAACTCAGAGCCCTGAAAAATACACAGCAGTGCCGAGACACCAACAAGCAATCACTACAATACAGCTCGTTAACTCAACTACACTGGGGTGGACAGACACACAGATGTCCTCCTGACATCAGTACCTTGTGCTACTGCTGACAACAGACAAGTTGTTAGAGTTCAATTAAACTATACACTCCCAGGGGCACTCAATCATCAAACCGAATATTCTAAAGTCCAATACGCACTCTTCAACCTCTCCCTAGTAAAAAAAGTCAAACACATGAGGTGACAATTCTCAGAAGAGAGGAAACACAAAAGACACAAAAGGAATTTCAACCACAATAATCAAATCAGAGTGAAAATAGTAAGGTCCGTCTTCACTTATCAAAACAGCTCAGTTTGATTTTTCTCTTTTTACATATTTCATGCAAGGAGGGGTAATAGTAAGATAGTTTTATATTTTGCTGGGTGTGCAATTGGTGCAAACAATGCTGAAAACAACAAATATATACATCAAAACCTCCCCAAAATGTTCATTCCCTTTGATGTAATTCTACTTCTAGAAATCTATCACAAGCACAATTATGAAAATGGATACTGATCACTATTTAAGCATTAGATATTAAGCTTATCTAATTTTTTTTTTCAACGTTTATTTATTTTTGGGACAGAGAGAGAGACAGAGCATGAACGGGGGAGGGGCAGAGAGAGAGGGAGACACAGAATCGGAAACAGGCTCCAGGCTCTGAGCCATCCGCCCAGAGCCCTACGCGGGGCTCGAACTCACGGACCGCGAGATCGTGACCTGGCTGAAGTCGGACGCTTAACCGACTGCGCCACCCAGGAGCCCCCATATTAAGCTTATCTAAAATAGCAAAACAAACCAAAACAAAAAAACCAAAAGCAAAAAACACAAAAGGTGCCTGGATAGCTCAATCAGTTGAGCGCTCAACTCTTGATTTCGGCTCAGGTCGTGATGCTGGGGGTCGTGGGACCGACACTGAGCGTGGATCCTGCTTAAGATTCTCTCTCTGCCTCTGCTCCTCTCTCCCACTCATATCCTCTCTCTCTCTCAACAAAAAAAAGTAACATAAATAAATACATAAAATAGCAAATAAAAAATTAGAGACAATCTAAACATCTAGTGATAGAAAAATAGTTACACATGATTTATGGAATATTAATACAATAGCATATTAGCAGTTATGTTACGAAGAAATGTTAATGTTAAAAAAACTCATAATACATGCAAAAATCAGGCTAATGAGAATATTTACAACAGTCTGCGTACGTGAATAAGTAAATAAATAAAAGGCAAACCGCAAAAAACATCTATACGGTAACAATGATTGTCTCTAAGTGATGGGACTACAAGTGACTTTTCTTCAATGATAACATTTGTTCTGAATTTTCCATATTTGCTAATAGCAGTATATGCGTTATCTGTATAATAAGAAATATAACTAAAAAAATCACACAACATGGCCTTTCTTCCTTAACTAGTGTAGTTGACACAGGACATGACATGGCCTTCGTAAGCCCTCTGACTAGAACATTTTTCCTAAACTCAGCAGAAATTCAACTGGGCCAAACAGAACAAACAGCATGCGCTCAGTTGGGTCACCTCAGACCCACCTGCCCCTGCCTGCTGCCCCCCTCTTACCTTGTGATAAAACGCTGCCCCCGTGAGCACCATGGATACCTCATTGGTCCACTCGGACTCATACTTCCACTTATTCATCTCATGGTCCCAGAGATGCAGACGACCTGGGTAACCCACCAACCGGTCAGGAAATTCCCGCCACACCTAAGGCAAGAAATACATCAACAATCAATTCCCAGTTCAGACGACGACCAAGCACAGTGCTAAGTTATACACATGGTATGCAGACTCGCCAGGTTGAACCCTTCACCAACTCAGATCAGAATGAGTCCCTGAAGATGTTCAATTAAACAGGTGCTAGTTATTCCGTCAATACTCAAAGACAGATGCGGATTCTAATTTCCTCCAAATCTTCCTGCGGTTGCTTGAAAATAGCTTACTGAGGGGCGCCTGGGTGGCTCAGTCGGTTGAGCGTCCGACTTCAGCTCAGGTCATGATCTCACAGTCTGTGAGTTCGAGCCCCGCCATCAGGCTCTGTGCTGATAGCTCAGAGCCTGGAGCCTGCTTCAGATTCTGTGTCTCCCTCTCTCTACCCCTCCCCTGCTCATGTTCTGTCTCTCTCTGTCTCAAAAATAAGTAAAAACAAGTTAAAAAAAAAAAAAGAAAATAGCTTACTGAATTGGGCAAGGTAGGTAATCCCTTAACAAATGATTATGGAAATAGGTTCCATTTTTAATGAATGCACACATGAAGAATAAATGGAACCGTGCAACTCAACTGTCCTAGTTTATATTAAATTTGACAATTGTGAAACCTTAGAAAGTCTCTGTTTCTTAAAAAACAAAACAAAACAAAACAAAACAATTTCTCTGGAGCACACAGCCATTCCTATGGCCTTTTAGAAGCCTCATGTGTAGAGAATGTGCCTGATTCTATAATGTAACACACTGAAAACAAAAACTTGAATTCCACATTTGGAAAGGTTCTTAGATACGGTTTTGTGAAACACAATTTGGTATACTGGGGGTGGGGTACCTCCAATGATCTTTCCCCGTGTATTTCTGTGTAAGTTAGTTTAACCTTTAAAAAAGAGGAAGTGCGTATCGTTAAGGAGTATTGACAATTTACCAGCTGTTCATGCTGCCACGTCTCAGCACCATGATTCCTCATCCTTTACCAGGCCTCTAAGGCTCCTGAGGGTCCAGTCCTGTGCCCTATTCTTTAAACTCTCTAATTTCAACTAGTTTTCATCCCTTTAAATACCTTCTATAATCTACTGACCTCTAAATTTGTTTGGCCCAGAATGTTCCAGAGATAACCAACTACTTACTTAATATCTTCCACTGGATAAACAGGCATCTCAAACTTAACATGGCCAACACGTATCTCTTGATTCCATATCCCCAGATAAGCCGTTCTCTCAATCTTCTCATCTCAACAAATCGGCTACCTGACTGCCCCAGCCCAAAAGCTACGAGACAGCCTTTATTCCTCCCTTTCCTGCTTCCCCACACCCCATCCATCAGCAAGTCCTGCTGGCTCTACTTCTGACCACCTCTTGCCAATTCTCCCACCCCTCTCTCCAGCCCAAACCACCATCCTCTCTCACCTAGACTGTTGTTAACAGGGCTCTAACTCATCTCCTTGCTTCCACTCTCACCCTTCCAGACCATTATTTATAGAGTATCTCTAAGAGGACTATTCCTAAAAGAATATTAGAGTACAGATGGTCCCTAACTTAGGATAGTTCAACTTACGGTTTTTTGACATTTACAATGGTGCAAAAGCAATACGCATTCAGTAGAAACCGTATTTCGAATTTTTTGCATTTGGATCTTGTCCTGGGCTAGCAATCTGCAGTACGATCCTTTCTCATGAGGCTGGGCAGTGGCAGCAAGCTGCAGCTTCCAGTCACCATGCGACCACGGGGTCCACAATCTATACATCTAGAGCCATCCTGTACCCAGGCAACTATTCCGTTTTTCGCTTTCAGTACGGTATTCAATAAATTACACAAGGTGCTCAACTTTATAGGCTCTGTGTTAGATGATTGTGCCCAACTGTAGGCTAATGTAAGTGTTCTGAGCACCTTTTAGGGTAGAATAGGCTAAGCTGGGATGTTTGGTAAATCAGGTTTATTAAATGCATTTTCAACTTACAATGGGCTTATCAGGTAACCCTATGGCAAGTTGAGAAAAATCTGTATTCTATACAGGGTAACTCAGCCAACAGGCTGTATCCCATTGTGTGTGTGTGTGTGTGTGTGTGTGTGTGTGTGTGTGTGTGTATACATACACATATATACATATGTATACATACACATATATACATATGTATACATACACATATATACATATGTATATATATACATATATACATCTTAATATTATCTTCATCATATATGTCCCCGCATATATATGTCATATGGTCACATGCTGCAGCAGAGGCTTCCTCAATGCCTAGGTGTCACTGAGTCCAGGGAGGATGTGTCATTGCTTGCCCAGAGGCACAGCCAGTGGGCCAGCGCCCCCCGCCCCTTCTGTAGTTTGCTAGGGCTAGTGGAACAGACTCACCACACCGGGCGGCTTAAAGCAACAGAAATCTAGAAGTCTGAAGTCAAGGTGCTGGCAGGGCCATGCTCCCTTCTGACACCTATAGGGGAAGGATGCTTCCTTGCTGTTCAGCTTCATTTGGCTGTCCATCTTGGGTCTTTCTAGGCTTGTAGGTGCATCACTCCTAACCTCTGTCTTCGTATGGCCTTCCTCCCTCTGTGTGTGTGTCTCTGGGCCCAAAATTTCCCTTTTTATAGGGATACCAGTCCAACTGGATTAGAGCCCACCCCAATGACCTCATTTTAACTTTATTACCCGAGAAGATCCTATTTCCAAATAAGGTCACGAAGGGTTAAGATTTCAACATATCTTTCTTAGAGGGACACACTTCAACCCAACACCCCCAAAATCTTTAAGAAATGCTATAGCTCTGAAACAAAACAAAGAATGGGTTCCCATGACCAGAATGACAGCCAAATTCCTTGGCATATTCTGAAGGGTGCACCCCACTCTCCAACCTCTTCTACCATGTTCTTCCACATTTCAGTGGCCTTTCTGTTCTTTAATCCTAACCTCTGTGTCTTTTTCTTCTGACGGGGATATTGTCCCAGCTCTTCAAAAAGCTGGTTCTTGCTCATCAGTGAGGTCTCTGCTTAAATGTCGCCTACTTTTAAGAGGCCCTTTCACACTTTCCTAGCCAAGGTGAACACCTCTCCCACCCGGCCATTCTCCATCACATCCCCTCACCCCATCTTTTTCTTCACCAAACTTTCATTTTCTGAAATTGCTTTGGTTATTTATTGTTTCCTTACTGTTTATCTCCATGAGGACAGAAGTTTAGTCTTCTTCCCTGTGGTTTCTCGAGCACAAAGAACGGCACCCGCGCATGGCAGCGTTCCACGCGCACTTTCTGAACGTACGGACACGGAGGCTCTCGCAGGCGAAAAAGCTGAGAATACAAGAAGGCACTGCAGATCACAGCCAGTGTCCTCCTTTATTCAGAAAGTCTGCAACGGTACCGCTCGACAGCTACCACGAGTAATACTGGGATATCCCTTGCGTGTGAGGATCACAGTAATAATTCACCATCACCAAAGCACATGTTTTAAACGGCTTCTCCAGAAGCGGATAAGGGATATTCGCTGAGTCATTACACTGTCTCACCCAGTCCTCCTGTGATCATCCACGTGCTTTTATGGGCTCTCTGACCTGGGTCTTGAGCGTGGCCTGGGGTTTCCTTTGTGTGAAACCTCTCAAACCCACAACCTTGGCCTCATTAACACCATGTTGTAACCAACAGAGTTAATCAGCCACAGCCATCGTCATAATAGCTGCAGACAAATGAAGTCGTGTCAAACATTTCCTCGGATGTGTAAGGCTGCTGCTGTGTTCCTACTCTGGGGCTTGTGTTTCAGCAGATTAAAATAATATGATACTCTTACAGTTTTATAGAGCGCAGAGCAACAACATAGTATGTGAGCCATAACTGGTGTTTGGTCTGTGGGCCCGAGCACCCTCCACGAAACGCACCGCCAGTTTCCTTCTGCCAACACCGGACACCTGCCTGTTCAAGTCACGCCGCTGCCGCAGTCACCTCAGCGGATTGAAAGAGCTTCTGAAAGGGAGGGCTCCAGGCACAAGTAAGTAAACTAAACACCAGGGGTGGGGAACACCCCTGCCAGATGCAAGCTGCGTCTTCCCCGCATCTACTTTGAGTCAACAAAGCTTTGCAATCCCTGCGCTTTCCCACGGGTCCTTCTCTGCAAGCCCCCATTGGCAGCAACCATAACAACACTGGCTCAGTTTTAGGGTCAAACGCCGTCAGGATGTCAGTCTTCTTCCTGTTGGCTGAAGCCACTTATCAGACTTCCCTCCACAGGGACTTAATTCGGTGACACTGGGTCACAGAAGGCTGAACTACGCTGTTCTAAAAGCATCAGAGGTGTCCTGAACTTCAGATTCCTTTGGAGCCGTTGGTGAGCGCTGTTCCTCAGGCGGGGCCTCTCTGCCCTTGACTTACTCCAGGCAGCTGGATACAATCAAGAGACCATCCTTGTCACTTCATCTATAACTCTGCAGCTGACTACGGGATCAAAACGGAGTGGGGCCGAGCAGGATGGGCCCTCTCTGATCGAGCCCCAGTGTAGTACGAAGTCGATTATGTAGACAGTAAAGCATCTTCCCAGCCAGAAGAGCGAGAACTCTAATTCCACCCCCTCTCCTCATGGCTACCCACCTCCCACTCTAATTCAGCTTTTTTCTTTTTACCTCAGGGAAATGCTCCGGGGTCAGCCTTTTGTCATTACTAACAGATGCCTTTATATATTGCAGTGCGGGCATCTGAAACTTCACACGATATCCCTGGAGTTCTAGTAACAGTGCTTCCACAGCTCTGCTCAGGTCACTAAGCCATTACTCGATGGTTTGCCTGCACTGCTGAAGTCCTCTGTATAGACTGTCCTCATCTATTTTTTTTAATGTTTATTTTTGAGAGAGAGTGAGAGAGTTAAGAGAGAGGTGGGGGGGGGGAGAGAGAGGGAGGGAGGGGCAGAGAGAGAGGGAGACACAGAATCCTTACATTTAGGGGCCAATTCCACATCACTGTTTAAACAAGGTAATACCATGCTGTTTGCTTCCACTCAAAGGTTTACA